CTATTGCCCTCAATGCATAGCTCCCTTCCCAATCCCCCCACTTAACAGTCCACCTATGGTGCTGTATTTACGCACGAATGTATCAGCTCCCGCCTCCAATGTGCAGCTGTCTACCTCACCTCCCCGAATCATCGGTGGACGAAACTGTGGCAGCTACAACCACTGTATGACGAGTACACGGTTATTACAGCTGACAATGATGATGAGGGACAGCGCGACGTGATAAACCCTTCGACACGCTATCGAAGATGTTAAAGAGAAGTGAAGCGCTCGGTTGATAGTAGTTTCACTTTTTTCGGTTGGTGTTGACGTTATCGCAAATGCGACTACCGGTTGGCGCAGGTTCGTTGGGATATACTGAGTTGCATAGTTAGGCCATGTGGAGTCTGTTTTGACAGAATGACTCTAACACGGTACATCGTACATCCTGACTGCTGAGGATACTATTACTCAGGCAAGAGCGGAGAATAAAAAACGGTAAATCACATTGCTGTACTATCCGCTTGGCTGGTGTATCATGCGTGAATACCGACGAGTCAGCGAAACACCATGGACGAGGGTCAAATGCTCGGATTCTGCCATAAAGATCGTACTAAGTCAACTCTCATGTTTCTATCGCAAAACAATGAGGGAGGTGTAACTGGTACTCACATAACACTGAATTTTTCTGTACTACTGTAAAAGATTACGACGATGGGTCGTTATTTGCAACGGTACAAAGGATCTAAAACACGTTGTGATAAGCCGAAAAGTGAAACGTCAATCCCCATAGACCAAGTCAACCAAAGTGTAATGTGTTACGCACGAAAAGAGATGTATTTGGTAGACGTAAAACAGCGCAGTTGCAGCTACCAGCTATCCACTACATGATCCGCCATACGCTCCTGTACTATTTCACATTTCAAGATACAAGTATTCACTGATCTGGAATCGGTTATAGTTAGCTTCGAGGAGGAGACGCCGCAATGACAATGCGCTTTGCGATCTGTTTAGATCTTCAAAATCGACTGTCAAAAGTAGTCATTATCTCTTGCGCTTCCCATATCGTCCGTTACCGCATTTTTTACCCAAATTTACAGTTCTGTCGTCATGTTAGAGTATACCTTTACCGCACAGCTATTCTCCTCTTTAGTCTTGTTTGAATTTGGCTAGCTGGTACAACAACGAAGGATATACTTTAATAACAAAGAATCGTTCAGCTGTAGCACCCTTTCGGTGCCTAACCGCCATGCCACCCGAAGGTTGCACGACGGCTAGGATACTGCCAGGTTGCCCAAGCCTAGACAGAGGAAGTCGAGATGCAAAGGTCGGGTTCGAACCACGGACCTTTCGATCAGTAAATTCGCGCTCTAACCACTTGGACCATCTCGACATCGCCTTGATGACAAGTGTAAAAGCCTATCTTGCTTGTGCACCAAGATGTCCAGTTTCCAGGTACTGAAGGCCAGAGCAACTAACCTCACCGCACCCTGTCGTCTGTCGCTGATAACGTTCAGAAACTCCTCTCTAAATGGAAGCAGAAGACACAGGATGTGTTTCGTGTTCCCCGTCTCTAAATAGGATATGCCCTCTGTCTAGAATACGATTTTGTATCATCTGCAAGTCCGGAGCAAGGAGTTAAGATAAGTACTGTGTAATGGAACTTTTGAGAGTCCAAGTGAGCGCAATCTGTCTGTAGACCATCTGATCTAGTAGCATATCTGTTCTGCAGTATCACATCAAATCTATACTACTCATGTCCCTTATTGTAAAAAAAAACGTCCTTTATCGATAGCCTGTATCTCGTTAGATTTATTCTTGAAGATTCCCGTGGGTGGTTATAAATGAAGCGTCTGAATTTTTCTAGAAGCTGTAAGGCAGACCTAGTCGGTATGCGGCAATTGCAATGAAGAGGTGATCATGGGCAACATACCTTAGTTCCACGGCAGTCAATGGTCACCTCTTGGTCGTTCATTGCCTCCTAGACTGAATGGACCCTTTTAAGTCGGCCTTATGTGCTCGACATAGCTCTGCGGTAGGGCACAAACTAACCAACCGGAAAGTCCGTGGTTCGAACCCCACCTGTGCATCTCGACTGCTTCTGTTTAAGCTTGGATAGACTGGCATTATCTCAGCCGTAGCGCTACCTTCAGGTGGCATGGAAGCTAGGCACCGAAAGACTGTTGCAGATGAACGGTGACCGGTCAATCTTATGTTATTCAGACCATCGAAACTTCGCGCCCAACTGGGGAACTTATTTGTCCCGTTGCTTTTAACGGTGTAGTTCTCCTGTATATCTTTTACGGCTTGTAAGTATTCACTGAAATCGGTCTTGTTTTCCTTTATTTTACTCTCCCAGCGCTAATGGCCCCGGCCGCTTTCGGATTGCCGGAAATTCCTGAGGACGATATCCATTTGATCATGGAGTACGATGCGGGTGAACAATGGGGCCCATTTGTTGCTCCACGGGCTAATCGGTAATCAACGCGCCTGTATACTGTCTTTTTAACTAAATTGCCTATCATATCGTTCTCACCTCTTGCTGATTTTGAATTCGCCCCAATCGAAATAGATTAAGATGAAACCACATCTCAACTCTTCTGCTTCCGAAGAACTGAAGGCAGAAGTCTTATTGTCAACAGTCCCACCTACCTTCGTTATTCCACTCCCATGGGGGATTGTAGGCCGTTACAAAGCCAAAAAACAGAGGACGTGTGTCCGGTCTATGCGAATTTTACCATACTCGCTTCAGGTGGAATATTGTTCCGATTAATCTACTCCGACACCCTTTTCCTGTCATTGTTGCACATGTCGTGAATCTTGCTGAAGATTCAAACACCAAGTGTCATCCGATCACCGGTGTCTTATCGGCAGTGGCGCCTTGGTTTCCAAACATAGTTTGCAAGTTATTCTGAAGCCTGTTGTCTGAAAATGGCACAATGAATTCATTTTTTCGACACGCCCACAATCCTGATAACTTTCGTGTGGATCAATATGAGTACACACATCTATACATGTGGATACGTGTAACATTGTGTGTCACGCAATCTCGATCGACATCAGCTTCGCAGACTGTCGAGTGAATCTAACGGATCGGACTATCTGGTGAATTTCACGTAGGCTACGTTTTATTTGTTCTTGGATTTCGTAGCTTAGCGGTAAGTGGGCCTCTGGTACACGTGCGGAGCGTGTAGATCAGAGTTGGACATGTTAAATATTCGTACGTATGGGAGCCTTTAGTGTGAATAGCTGGCCAAAGGCGACCATACAAAGTAGGCATTACAGTACCGTCAACCTTAGTCCTTCATCCTTATCTATTTTGGACAGAATTATCCATCTGATGTACGTATCATCTCGTCTTTTTTTTGTTATTTGGATCAATAGTTGCCTCTTAGTCAAACTATCAACCTTAATCTCTCAGGTATATTCTCTTACATGACCAAGAAAACCCCCGTCTTAGTGGGCTGTGGCCTGGACTGTTGGGCAGTTGGCAGAGTAAGGTTGCGAAGCAGTCTTCCGGTTCCGCTTCCTTCAACGCATCTTCACAGCACGCTAAATCGGTATTCCCCGACCTTGTGGTGGTGAGTGGTTTGCAGGTAATGGACAACTGGGCCGCCGGAAACGCTCCAGGTACGCCTATAATGCACCTAGTGTGTCGTCAGTTTTGTGTTTCCGTTGAACTAACAATCTTGTATAAAATAATACGCGTATTCGTTTCGGACCATTTTATTTGTTACCAGCATTAGCTATCGATGTACATGCTCGCGCTCCGACACGTGTCGGCACTAACCAGTCATGAACTAAGTTGGATCACTTACCAGATGGGGACATCAGTTCAAACTTTTTCCTCTCTCTGACACCCAACTTGGTTCCGGCCACGGCTTAGTGCGTTCACTCACAGTCTCAGATTCTATTAAGATGTATTTCTTGGCACCTGTCAGTCTATCAAGCGCTTTTGAACATTCATTTTCTCAAATTCCCAACCCCACTGCTTTGGCAAGATATGTATTCGCGGGCTGACGAAACGGGGCCGTTTCTCTCCATCCATATAGCTGCAGTTTCACTCCGTGCCAACCAAAAGAAGTCTGGCCATAATGCTCGCAAATCAAACTTTAAGTTGTGTATGAAAGTTCAGGAATTGGCTCGGCCGACAATGCTTAGTTCTCTAGTGCATCTGGCCAAAAGGGCGTGTTTCACGTCGGCACTACAGATAGAAGAAAGGAAACACGTCGCGTCAATCTGATGACCAATCAACTTGGTTTTAGTTCATCATACCCACACGACTGAACCCCTCCCTCGCCCACTCTTTTTCTCCTCTCTTCACTGTAGGGCTTTTAATACAACTATATATATATATATATAACTAAACGAACTTTATGGTTGTACGGCAGTGAAGCATCAGTGCCAACACTGATGTTGCTGTCATTGATGATGATGATGATGACTGAACGTGAGGGCATCCAGGCCAGACCGGACAGCTCCGGCCTTTAGCGAATATACACTCATTTGCAAACTAATTTGGTTTTTTTGAGAGACTCACCTGGAACCCAGCTGAACCTCTCGTTTGTAATGTTTCCAGGCAACTGAATGTGCTGCACCAGGCCACTTTATGATTCAGTCGCTACGATATTCGAGATATTGGGACACATGTATGTACTTGTGGTGTACTACTCATGAGGTTGCTGAAAATCCGTCGGCTCTGGCCTTTAATCCGATAACAGCAGAACAATGACCGGTTTGGGATTGAGATTCGATGATTTGAGTTTGTGCAATCGGAGCTGGTCGGGTACAAATAGTAAGGTTTTGAAGTTATGCATAGGAGAGATATCAGAACAATGTATCATGGTTTTTCGTACGTCGATGTTGGACGTTTGTCTGCAAATAACAGCATGTTTTCATCCGTATGTGGTTTTTGTTCCCTGGACGTGATCAGTTGAGTTTCTTCATGGCGCAAACCGTAGAGTGGACATTGTGTCACTTGCTGAGGGGGTCAAATGACAATATGTGTGCTATTGGTCTGGTCCGTTTTTTTTTAAGGTAAAGTCCACACAACCCTTCCTGTACTTAATCTGAGATGCTGAGAAACGTGGCTGTTAGCCGATGTTAACAACAGTCATGCTCAGACTGTGAGTGCATTGATAGTGTTGGATGTTTTGACGAACACTAAGTCCATTCCTTTGTTATTCACGTATCGGAGCCATTAGGATGAATTTTTTTCAAGTATAGCAGTGAACATCAGTGTCTAAACTGATGTTTTTGTCCACGCTGTTCATGTTGCCAATTAGCTAGCTGTTGATGCAAGTTAACCCCAGACTGTAAGTGTTGGGTTATCAGTTCCCACATCGTTTATCAAGACTTCATCAACAGACGTGGTTTGTCAGATGAGGTTACGGTGAATGATCCTAATTTGGTATAGTATAAACCGTCGATTACGATGTGTCACGTATTTCGTCAGACGGTGTAAAAAAATGAACAAATCGTTCAGCTGTAACATCCTTTCGGTGCCTAGCTGCCATGCCATACGAAGGAGGCACGAGGGCTGAGATACTGCCAGGTTGCCCAAGCCTAGACAGGGAAAGTCGAGAGGTAGAACTCGGGTTCGAACCACGCACCTTCCGGTCATTGAATTCGCGCTCCAACCACTTGGTCTATCTCGCTCTGGCGGAGTTGAAAAGACAAGAAAAATACAGGATTACAGCGTCACACGACACTGGCGGTTACAGTACCCCTACAACAGTTGTCCTGTTGTAGAATGAGCCATTCGATGTTTGCTGATGGCCCATATAGAGTATATCGGTCCGAGTAAAATTACGGTCAGCGAGAAGTCACAGGCCATTCACTTCTTCCCTTAACCGTCTCCTTCCCTCTGCGTTTATCATACTAGTGCCAACCCCCCTTGCTTCAACAAAGATTGTATACTATCTAAACTCCCCCAAATTGCTTTTGGAAAATTGCTTCTTAGTGTCGGCACCTACAAAGTGTAAGGTCATGGTCGTGGACGTGCAGTCCTTGAACTCGCCACTTGCAATCCATTGAGAGGTACTGGAAATTGTGGAGCGTTTTACGTATCTTGGAAGTTGTATTAGTTCTGATTGTAGTGTGGCAGATGAGGTGAATGCAAGGCTCGGGTCGCGTTTGCTAATTTGCGACACCTATGGTGTCAGGGTGGTTTATCCCTGATTCTCAAGGAATGTGTGTATCAAGCTGCAGTACGAGCTTTTTTTTGTATGACTGTGAGATTTGGCCTATTCGAGCAGTGGAACTTAGACGTCTTCAGGTGTTCGACAATCATGTCAGCATATCCGTAACGGGACAATCAGAATGCACGTTTCCGGTTGTGCAACGGGTACTTTCGTTGAAGAATGTGTCCAGCACCAGAAGCTGCATTCGTTGTGTTGTGTTGTGTATGCTAGTTGAGTGATTTAAGAGCTTGATGCGATTTATTCTGTCACGTTGATAGTCTAGTCACTTGAGTGGGAAACCCTCAAGGCCAGATGAAGATCAGCTACACTGCAGATGAACCAATGAAAGAAAGAGTGCTGCGGCTCAGTTGGCTACAACAGAGGGAAAATGAAATCTTAGTGAAATATAACAGAGAGTAGGACTGTTCGTTAGGGTCTGACCGTCCTAACAACTCCCTTTTCTCGGGTTCGATTGTATTCACGACTTTGAAGACAGACTGCGAAGATTCGCTCAGTTTTGAACCCAGGTACGATGGGACTTTGTATGTGACCCACATCCTGGATTTTCGCTCTCCGGAAAGATGATACTCGATAAAAACCCGTCGATAACAATGGTAATGATCCCTACTGACTGATGGGTTGCTTTCTGCCGTACACTCGTGTGTTCAGCTCTCTGATTGCTCGTTACAGTTATGTACACGTAACTTTGGAGCATCACACACGCACGTCTTGTCGGTTTACTAGATTATGAGGCGAAAAGCTATTCAGGTCATCCTTTTTTCTTAAATATCGTGAGAAACCTGACTTCGCGTTCAATTTTCTCATTGAAATCAGTAACCGCACCATGTGGCACGCTTTATTCTGGTGCAAAATGCATTTAGACAGTGAAAGTCGATTCTTGTCCATAAACTACAGTTGTGTTCACTCTTAAAAGTACTTAGGCATCATTCACGCATCCTTTTAATTAGCCCTTCTTTGAACTTCGGGTTATTCAATACTGCTAAATGCATCATCTTCTTTGAAATTAAATAGTCATCGTTGACAGTAGTACACCAAAAAGACTGAAATCACCCTAAAAACATGCTTCAAACTGGAAGCCAAAGGCGAATATCATTGGGCAATTAGAAAAACCAGGTGAAATCCTTCTAGCTAGTATGATCAGGAAGTTGCTAGAATAACTTACTTCAATATGGCCTTCCCGTTAGTGGAACAATGCGTCTTTTGTGTCCTCAATTTCACCTGGTTTCATGAATGCCATCCCGCGTCACATGTAGCTTATACTATCCTGATTAGAATGAACTGAGTCAGCTCCGATTCCACCCTAATGGCCATAGGCGACCGCTGCCCGGATGTGCGAAGTAACTTTTAGGTATGGTGATTTCGTTTAACACTTCGCCTACAACTTGAGTTTCACAAGGGTTCGTTGCTGTGTAGCTCTGAGGACCCCCTGCGTCGCCTTCATCAGCTAATCTTTATAAGAGTTTTTTTTGAATCTTTATTTCCGGAGGGAACGACAGCCGATTGGATGGCGTTCATGTGAGTTTTAAACCCGGTTGTTCTAATTAGTCCATGTTCTGACCTACTCGGATATCCGGGCCGGCTTGGCATTTCGGTTTCAGTGACCACAAAATGGAAAATAAATTGTTCGGTTCGGTAATTTTATGGTATGTGTTTTATGTATGCGAATATTGCTGAATTGCGAACTGGTTAGCATGGGGCGGCTTCAACCACCCGAGTTTTTAACTGTGTCAGGTCTTTTTTCATCTTCAAATGAGGAGTTTTCAGTCGGTGAATTATTAGAGGGGGCTTCAGGTTACTGAAGGAGATCCACGAACACTAGATACCTGTTGCGTATAGCTTGTTTCATTTTTGGTCGTTTCCTGCATATGTACGTCACCCGTGTACTATTATAGAACTGTTGTCAACACTGATGTGTATTGCCTTATTGTGCCGCGTTCGCATTCATGCCTGTTCAGTTTCCCCTTTCCGAATCCTCCCTTCAGATGTACGTCAATCGCGGCTGATCGAATTGCAGAACTTTCTTTCCCAACTACCCTCTGAGACGTTGGTGCACTTCGAAATGGCTTCTTTTGTCAACCAAACGTTCGCGAGTGACATGGTTCGTAAGCTGATGCCCTACGTGGATTCGATCGGTGAGTTCTTGTTTCTCTAAGTGCTACATCAGCCAGGCAAGACGTGTACGTGGCCCCCAAACATAACATAGCCTGGATGAGTCCCATAGCGTACAAACAGGCATACATTACTCTAGGTTGGATGCATTGCAGAGTTACTTGACATACATGTTTTGGCAGCTAAAAACTCAAAGCTATGCTTCATAAAATGGCAAGATGAGTGGCTATTTATTGAATCAAGCTACGAGTTCCACCAGAAGTTGGGTAATTCCTTAGTTTACCTTGTCCACTTCCTGCTCAGCCACGTTCTTCTGTCGACAAAGCTGTTGGTGTCCTATGTTCACAGCATTTTTTCATCTCTCGACAGCTTCCGTTTCATGGTTAGCTATTTCTGTAAACCTAGACAGAGAGTTCCTCGGATGAATCGGCTGTCACTTGATCTAATGATGTAAACCAAAAACGACACATGCTGTGAGCGCGGGCCGAGGTCTTTAGACAGAGGTCATGAGTTCACATTGTGTCCTGTGCTCTTGTCTGCCCTTTTTCATTGAAGCTTCTTATTCGCAATCTAAGCTTGCCCTTGTCTCAGACTGTCATCATGAAATGAATAAAAAACCATCTAGTGGTGATGGTATCGCAGTTCGCCATCATTTTTCAGGGAATCTTTATTTACGGGATGCTTTTTCTTCTGAACATCCGACGTTTAATAGAGGCGTGATGTTGCGAGTTCCATGAGAATACATATTACTTGGAAATGAGGTGGAACCTCGCTCGTCATACCCATAAACTTGGTTGTATGGTTCTGGAACGGCCCGTTAATCCGCCTCCAAGAGGCGTCACTCGATATGGCAGCGATTCAGCACTCCTCACTGACGGCATAAACGGTGCTCATTGACGGAAAAATCAGCGAATTCTCGTTGCGTCACCGCAGCCCCACTGGAAAACTATCATTCTTGTGCAACCCAGTATATGACCGGTTTGTATGCGTTCACCTCATGGACCCCAATAACGATGAGGACGTGCGTTACCGACTGCGTCTTTCTTGATTAATATTCAGTTAATCAGCCGAGAAATCTGAGTGCTATCAGTGCTGTTCACCTTCCGGGACAGAGCTGGCGTGACTCTATGTGTTTGACTAGCACCGAAAGATTTTGTGGCTAGCCGACTCCAGTGTCAGCCTCCGTCCAGATTGACTGAATGTTGGAGGCAAATCCCCTCGGGTGTTTTTCGTGGATCAGCCCTGGGTCCCTCCTCCTTGTCCCATTCTCTTTCTTACCATTACAGGGCTTTATTCAAATAACTTACCACGGTTGTATGGCGCTGATGCGCCAGTCTTCTCCTCCGGTGTTGTTGTCAACGATGATGGTGATGCTGCTTCGTTCTTCAGTCTCTTTTCACAGCTCATCAGTCCAACATACGGTCCATCATTTTATGTCTACCTGACAATTTGGATCCAAAATGTTTCCTGCTGTGTACCTTCACTTTCCCATTTTTTTATTCCCAGAGCTTCGTTCAGATAAATTGGCACAGTTCCATGACAGTAAAGCACCAGTCTTTTCTGGTGTTGTTGTCAGTAATTAGGAAGAGGGGGAAACGAACCACCACATTTCAGCTAAAGTCATGGTCGTGGGGTTATTCATCGAGAAGCATACGTCTGTGGTTAACAGCCTCCAGTTTTTTTTATTAGTTTGCGCGTATTAATGTGTTGGAATATTCTGTCTCCGACAAACGTACAATTCGAAAGATGCGAAACATCCACAAGCAACGGATGACTTTTCCTCATCATCTTCATGGACAGCATGACATCAGTGTTCAACACTGATGCTTCGCTTGCGGCGTCTCCAACCGGTGGAGATCACGCGGTTCCCATCCTGAAAGGTAAGCAGCACCGACAGCACCCAAACGTTTCATAATCTCTTTCAAATCCATCTGCCAAGTCAAGGGTTGACCACCTCTCTTCTTCTGCCATTCTGAGTTGGGTATGGAAAACGACACTCTCTTCGGCAAACTTTGGTTCGGTATACGCAATACGTGGCTTAACGAACGCAGCTTTTGTTCTGGACATATTCTTTAATGGAAGTTTTTGTTGCACAGCCGAAAACGTGCTTTCCGAATGCTCCCTTGGGGTTAGCCGAAGCCAACTCACACCAGCAATGGTCCAGAGACAATGTCGAAGGTCTGAAGGAATTTCAGTTCCGCTGCTCAAATAGGCCAAGTCTCACAGCCATACAAAAAACAGTCCGCACTGTAGCCTGACACACGTCCCTTGAGATTCAGGGATATATCGCTTTGGTGCTAAATTAGCAGACGCGACCCGAGCCTTGCAGATTCGTGCACTGACCTCATCTGTCACACTGCAATCACAACTAATACAGCTTCCCACAACTTCGAGTACCTCCCCCTGGATTGTCGGTGGCGTGCTCAGTGACTGCATGACCGTACACTTTGCGGGTGCAAAGTGCACGGGACGGGATGACTTTAGTTCATCCAAAAACACCTGCGCCTTCTCCTCCTCTTCGAAGACGAGATCAATGTCGTCTGCATATTCCAGATCGACAAGGTTTACGTCAGAGGCTATTTGAACACCGGGGTTTTGGAGACTCTCCAGCGTTCGTTTCATTATCTCATCGATCACTAAACTAGGTAAGAATGTGTGGAGTGGGCACCCCTGTTGGACACCACTTTGTATACGGAAGCTTTTGGAGAGCTCTTCACATATTCTCACATCCGGAAGTCTGAGAATACAACTAATTCAGTATGTTCACAAACTTCCGGAGTATTCCCTTGTGGGCAAACCTGTCAATGGGAACAGGCCGGTCAGTTGAGTCGTATGCTTCTTGAAAATCCAGGAATATTACATTTGTGGGTCGTTTGTACATATGGCGTTGTTCTAGCACCTGACGGAGTGCGAAGATTTGGTCCACCTGAATCCTACCGGGTGGCCTTTTCTACAAGTCTTCTATATACGTCCAGTGTAGCTTATCTGAAATGATAAGTCGCTAGTATGTGAGGAATAAATTCATTGATTTTTTAGGTGAGCTTTCATCTACCCTTTAAAAGCTTTTCGAGTTTTCGATTTCCAGACCATGCTCGGTGACATGGCCACCTTTCTCCCGGAGCTGTTCTTGTGAGAACTTCTCCCCCCCCCCATTCAACACAAGACTTATGCTGTCTTTCGAAGAGTTATATTGGCTGGGACTTCAGCGTACACATCACCAGAGAAACGACCCAGCTAAAGGAACTGCAACCGTTTTCTTTGCAGCTTACTTTTTCGCCGGACATCTCATTCCCTTCACCGCCTAGCACCTGATCGCAGCAGATTTTATTAAACGATTTTAGTCGGCCATTAATAGCTGTGAGATCGATGTGTTGCCTTTTGCCCCTTACATCCGATTTTATTGCAGAAATTTTTTTGTAAAATGTAGTGCCTGTAGCGTGAGCACGATGTGACCATTTGGAAACCTCTATGTCTTAACATGGTCTTGGGTGAGTGTCTTGAAGAAACAGGTAAAGCCGTCCTTTGTATCGCGCTGAAATCCCTGCACCGGGGTTACCACCGATCCCCACCTTCCGATGGCATGGGTAGAAAAGCCTACAAAACTCGAGATGACAGGTTTTGGTTTAAGCCTCGGATTGACAACAGGTGGGGTGGGAAGCCGTCAGTACCGCTGTTACGGCTTCTTGACTTTCTTCATGCCTTTTGCTTTTGAGAAGGAAGGGGGAGCCTGTTAAATTTCTTGGAGTTTCGAGTTCACTATCTCTCCAAGTGGCGATGAAACGCAGGCAAGGAATAACTGGACATTCAGTTTTTACAAGAACGCAGTATAATCTTACTGTGAATGGAGAAAATCCTTGTTCTCGTGCCTGCTTGGTGGTTCATTAAACCCTAAAGCAAGACAAATTGTCTAGACCCAGTACACTACTCATAAGGTTGCTGAAAACCCTTCGATTGTTTTTGCCCGTCCTGTGGCCCATCAGATATGCTCAGTCATCGAGTTTTCGTCAATCTTATGCTCCATTTGAACCCAAATCGGACAGCTTTTCGCATACGATATCCTGAATATCGTGCCAACTGAAGCATGAGGCGGCCTGTGTGCAGCACATTCAGCTGAAGCGGAGCATCATAAATGAAGGTCACCCGAAGTCAGTTAAGTTTCCTGCCGAATATAGAGACCGTTTCTTTGTCATTTTCAGTGAGTTCTTCGATGACCACCGAGCAAGTGCGCGGTCCAATTGGGCTGGCCTGTTAGACTACTACAGTGCTGTCTATTGCAATCACTAACTGGCTCATCTATCCCATAATTCGTGGCTCACGAATGAATAGCGCCTATATATGGTTCTCATGTGGACGTCCAGACGGATACATGTTCGAATATCCACGTACCTTAGCACATAATATTTCAAAACTTTGGCGTTCGTTTTCTTTGTGATTGTTGTCGTTAGTTTTTTTTCACCAAAGATTAGCAGCCATTTAGATGCTTTAACTCATGTTGCCCTTTCTATTTCCATAGGTCTGAACGAACAAGAGTTGCCCAACCTCACCAGCCTTTTGTCCAGTGGCTCCACAACTTCGATCAGTTCCGCCTATCCACGCGTTGCTCACATGTTGGACGAGATGCGAACCGTCTGGGCTACAATGACGGACCCCAACTTACCGCGCGTACCATCCGCATCGGGTCCCGGTTGGCGTCGGTTATCCCGCATTCATTTGCACACAATCGCCTACCAGATAATCATGGTCCGAAGGCACATTCGTGGGGGTGCTGAAGCCAGAAAACAGTTGGATGCTACCGTCAAAATGGGTGGCATGCCAGCCAGACGTGCTGATGTTGGTCTGGCTTGGCCGTTCGCAAGGGCCGCTGCAGCCAAAGTACGATCTCTCTACTTCACTCACATATCCATCGAAGGCCCCCACGTGGTTGTAACCCTTCTAGAAACAACCTAATTGTAGTTTGGAACGGGATAGATTCTCATGTAGCGGCATCAGCACTTTCCTATGGTTTGTCTGTTTCCATGTTGATAGCAATCATGTTGCTGTAATTTGATCGCTCACAACCCCCGCACTTTTCTCTTCTCCTCGATATTTGTGTGTGTGGATTAGGTTTGGTCTCTTTTGTAACTACCTGTCGCAAATTGATCCCATTCTTTTCTCAGAGCATGACGCTTTACTGTCTGTGTGTGTGATGGCATTTAAATTAATCCGTTGATGATGATGGTATGTCTTGTTGCTTTGACCTAGATTTAGCTCATTAGTGAAGCAAGCAAGAAAACTTTCACCATCTCATTCAAACTAATTATTTCAGATGCACTTGCAAGTGAGCTACTTACTTACACACTGAATTATGCCGTTTGCTAAGCTCGTAAAAGCGATATTCTGTGATTGACGTCATGCAGCCTAGACTGCGCAATAGCTGATCCTGTCTTCGTTTATGCTGCGTGCTTCAACTGCAGCTCTCACCGGATTTGCCAATCGTCGATAATCGGTTGAGCATGTTTAAAGACTTTAGGACTGTCTCTTTTCTATTCACCTTTCGGTCTTTTCTATCCTGTCTTATTTAAGTGCGTTTGGTTTGTCCACAAACCGCGTGTCATGTACACCCATTTCTTTAAAAAAGACGGATACGTATTATCTTGATGGAACACGCTATTGAGTGTGGTTCGCCAAGGAACACATTATTTTGACATCCTTCACAGGGTGTGTAACAATTTCCACAAAACGCCATAGACTGAGGGCACAAATGAGCAGCTGAGCAACCCTGAGTACACCGCAGACTGCCGAGTGTTGCCAGCGCGTCGACCTTACGATCTGTTCCGATTGTACACCAGTGACCAGCAATCACAGTTCCTACATCAACCAAAGATATTTCTGTTGTCCCAACATTGGGGGGCTTTCTCAAGAAAGCTCAAGAAAGTAGACAAATCCAGACCATGACCGCCTCGAAATCGATCTGCGAGTTGGATCATGTAGAATCACAAACAAGTTCACCATTTCTAAATGTATGTGAGCTGTGTTGTAAAGCAAAGTGGGAATGTATATACAAACAGTGAAACTTCGATGAATGGACCGATATCCGTGATAATTGTAATTCTCACTCCGGTCGTTGTGGTAGGCAAGGATTACTTAATCTTTTTTGAGGGATCTGATTCAGCATAAGAATTAGAAGCTACTTTATTTGATTCCTTTTTCTCCCTCTCCAGGCCAGTCTCATTGCACATCGACACACCTGCTGCGCATCGGCCATCGACCCGGTTAAGACACGTATTCTGATGGATGATTCGTTTGCCGTTACAGCGGACCCAGAAAGGTGGAAATCTGCCTTACGTGGCTCACATCAGAGCGGGATACGTGGCAGCCACAACGTCCCACGAGTCCATTTCAACGAGACTGCGCCGGTGTTCTGTTGGACGGAACCGGAGCCTCAGTTGTCAGACACCGGAGAATTCGGACGATCAGCAGAGGGCAACCTCCCGACGATACCGTTTGACACTCAAGTGGAATTTTGCATCGCTCCTGTACTTGTGTGTTCCACAGTGCGCCAAACTGTCGGTGCTGGTGACAATATATCTGCAGGTGCGTTGCGCGCACAACTCACCGCGCGCCAACCGCCAAAAGACTAATGCGTCTGTAGAACTAATGCCTTCTCACTGTTTTGCCCCGCTTATTTTTCAATCCAGAGTTATTTCTTTTATCTTTATGTTCGAGCTTGTTCGAATTCACCTTCCAAACCCGTTTCAGAAACTTCAGTGCCCTGGTCGGTTTTCTCTCTTGACAACAGATGTAGGAAAAGGATTTTACTTTACGTTCGAATATTTTCTTCATCTCTCTTTCTCTCAAAGCCGGTGTCCTCACATACCAGCTGCCGATCTTCGGGCGGTTAGCCTTGTTGTCTTCACTTTATTCAAGGTTTTTTAAAGGAAATTGTCAGCTATTTGTGTTCCTGAAAGTAGCCAGAAAATGCACAGCTATCTGACGCGATGAATGTCTCACTCAACTTGCATGAGTTTTACTGAAGCAGGTCGTACCCAGTGTTGCCAGATGTTCATATTGTGTCGGTCTTTAATCATCCTGAGGTTGCTGTTAAAATTTTCATCTAGATCCCTCATTTCGTAAACAAAATGAAAGAGAAGAATAGATGCTTTCTTCTCATCCTTTTACTCAGCTGTAATTGGTCTGTGGAGTGATCACAAGGTCTAAACACTAACCTTGATTCTGCACAGACCTCGACGCTAATTTCACTGCCTTGTATGGCGCACGCAACTGAGTTTCAGTAGATAACTCAGATCAACCGAAGCTGCTTATTTGTATGCACCAGCAGGTGATGAATTTACTGCATTCAAAAAACGGGTGAAATGATGAAATTCTTGGAAATTAAGAAAAAGCCGTTGAGTTGCCGCAAAGCGTGTCTCAAGTGTGACCACAAGAAAGTTACTATTAAAACATGCGTGTCAAGTAAGGTACAAAGTGCCATAAGTGGTGGTTCATGTGAAGTGCTTATGAATGAATTCAACAAGGACACCCGTTGGGTCGGTACACTAAATTATTGATTAGTGGGGCTGAGCAATGGACTAAAGTCCAGCTTTGGGCCTGTGAATAATGTATTGTGGAACGGAAGAGGACATTTAACTAGTGCAAAGTTGTGGTGGCTATAAAGAGACGTCTTCCGGAAGTAAGGACTAAGGGACGGCGGTTTCGCTTGAGTGTCAACAGTCAGCGTGTTTGCAGTTCTGAGTTACGACGACTGAGCGTTAGTTGCTATTAGTGCCCGGTACGGGCGTTGATAATCAGGACTAGATGAAGCAGTGAAGAGAACAACTGGACACTCGGTTTAGCGCAAACTGCGGCGTACTCGTTGATCGAAGTGAAGCTTTGTCGAAAAGTCCTTGTATCCCGGATAGGGGCAGTCAGTGACGCTGTCTCAGCTAGTGACCAGACTAATGGATAGCGCATGATATGCGCCAGGGACAAGAAGGGCTGGGCAACGATGGCGTTGGTAGGAGGTAAGGAACAGTTTCGTCCACTTTCGGAGCAACGGAATCGCTGCGCTGATTGTTCAAGAGTACGGAGTTATCGCGTCGTCCCCGCCCGCCGATGTCAAACACCGGTGTCAGTATTTCTACTCAGAATGTATCAATTGTCTGAGACGGTCTCTTTCAGCTCGGTTATGAAGGCCCTTGCATTCCAACATCAAGGTTACGTAAGATATGGTTAAAACATGGATCCAGGTTGAGTGTGACTAGTGATAAGCGTTCGCTTATGTCACAAATATACTCATTTGCAAATCAATTTAGTTTTCACGGGAGACTCGAGTGAATCTCTCGTTTGTGATGTACTTCAACTGAATAATCTGCATAAAGGCCGCCTCATGTTTCAGTTGGAACGATATTCGAGATATCGCAATATATTTTCATAGAGGAAACTATTCACAAGGTTGCTGGAGACTCTTCGACAGCCCACGACCTTCCTGGGAGTGATCCGGTAAGTGCAGTCCCCGAGTTGGAGAACACCATAGACGAGAGATTCACTTGAGTCTCCCGCGAAAGACAAATTGATTTGCGACTGAATTTATTTGTCAAAATCAGTCCAGTTCCGGTTAAAGTAGAACATATTGTTGACGGAAACTAGGGAACTGTGCCTACCTGATAAGTCCCAAGAAGTCTGAAACCAGTCGTGCGCCGTCAAAGTTTCCAGCAGCCTTGTGGATAGTTTCACTCATGTGATTTAGTCTAGCTGTGTACCAATGAAAAGCATTTTCCATACTAATTCAGAGAATAGTGCAAGAACTTCAAAACCGAACACAATCAAATGCGATCGTAGGCCGTTCAAACATTCTTCAGACTCAGTGTTCCACAGTTTAGTGGGTAGATTTCAAGAGCGCGGAACACCGGATTCCCCTCACGTTTTGTATCCTGACAAGAAGAATCCCTAGATATTTATTGCGCCCTGAAAATCCTTTAAGATTTTACTCATCGCATGCCTGACCACAGGAAATGATAACCGACGATAACAAAGCCAGCAGAAAGGTGGAGGTGCACCCGCGTGTGGTGGAACCTTCCATGAAAGTTGTGACGGGGCCTCGGCCTTTTGGTTCATTCAGACGCGAACGTCAGACCACATCACGCGCTGCAGCGAACGGTCACAAAATACTATGAGCGTCAGAACGAAACTTCCTTCAATCGAGTTCGCAACCGTTACCGGGATTGCTCTGCAGGTTTGTTAGGTCAGTTCTCGCGTATGAGGGAACAAGCCACCCGCACAGGAGCCGGAGACAACGAGGTGAAAAGAGTTCAATCTCCTGCCACATACTTGATCCCGGGTCCACATAAGTCCATATATACATTTAGCATTGCGGATTAACAAATTTGTTCAATCATGATTACCTCCGTGCATTTATAGAGATTCCGAGTAGTATTTCCCCACCGCTTCACTGGCGCACGAACGTTCCTCATTCTATCGCAGATGTTACACGCCAAAGATCGTCCACCTATGATCGAGAAAATGCCCTTCGCCTGACCTGCCTATCAAAGTTGCATTATTTAGAACTGCATAGCGACAGACGCGCTTAAGCTAGTCAACACCGACTCCTGACTCTGCGAGCGGATAAAAAATCAACGGGCTAATGATCAGCCGAAAGGCGAAGTAATTTACAAGAAACCACGGTGTATTCTATGTCTAGAAATTTCACAAATACTAAGAGAAGCCTGCAGGCTAGTTGTCCATATCTGGAAAGGGGATCATCCACGGAAAAAGCTCCCTCATCGCCACTGCACAGTTCATGCTGTTATCTAACAATGTTGTACTTAATGGGAATTGAGATCCATAGGAAAGTGTGTTGTGAACAGGATCGCCGAACAAAATCATCTCATTTGTTAAATCTGGGAAGTGTAAAGCAAACAAACGTCAATGACCGATCTTCCAGGGTGGAATTTGCATGAGCGTTTCTTTATGTATTTTTTGTTCTCGATGAATACCCGAGAACGCCATAATATATTGAAGTGCTATTTCGTGCTTTATCTCGCGTAAAACGGTAACAAGACGCGAATCGGTGATGGTCCCCGACACGGATCCATGGATTGATACGCAGGGTCGGGTCTTTTGCCCAAGTGTCCCAGATCGGTTTTGTCATTTTCGTTCAGTGCCTGTGGCTCACTTAAAAGGCACAAGTAAAAAATGGGTGTAGCACTGCTCTTTATGTTCTCATCGCGGAGCAGTATGCTTGCCAGCGCGAGGATCCGCATAAATACATGTCTAATAGCGCTTCAAACTGGGTTCTAGAAGGAGCGTGGTCATTCCACGAAGCTACTACCCGAAATGAGAAAAAAAATTTATCTAATGAATTCGTGCGCTCCGAGCTTGAAAACATTTTACTATTTCCCCGCCGTGCATTTGCTGCGCCAACGGTGACAAGCCTGTTGGCCAAGCCTTGTTCAAACAGGGCATAAGTAACAATTAGGTCCCCTCGGAGGCGACGATACTCCACGGGAAATAGCTCAAGCACCGCCAGACGGGTAGTGGCTCGCTGGACACGCTCAATGAGGCTGATGTCTTTAGTGTGTCCTGAGTAGACAACCTGGTTGACGTATTCCAGGAGCGGTCCGACGTAGGCCCCATAGAGTATTTGGAAGTCCATGCGGCTAATGCAGTAGAAGGCGCGCTGGATCACCCGTAAAATGGCGAAGGCCTTTTGGGCCGTTTTCTCATGGTGCAGTGTGGAGGACAAGTTCGAGGAGACCCAGACACCCAAATGCTTTAGGGCTTCTATCCTAATGATGTTTTCTGGTCTTTTCCCACCACGCAGGACAAAGGCATTCGCTAATCCTTCTCCAAATGACAAATGGACGCACTTTCCATCATTCAGAGGAAGGTGCTAGCCCAACGACCACTGCTTGGCAGCGTCTACATCCATCTGGAAGGCACTGGCATTGGAACTTCGGGATTCCAAGTCGTCCGAAAAAGGTGGACATGGACTTGTAAGAACATCTGAAAGGTCACTGACGTAGCTCAGAAACAGGAGTGGCCCCAGAACGGAGCCTTGAGGAACTCCAATGGAGACCGGCGCTGGAGAAGAGTCGCCAGAACATACATTCAATCGGAGTGATCTGTCTGATTAGAACGTCTTGAATTTCATGCGAATCGAGTTTGTGGAGCAGCGGGGAGTGTGGGACCCATCAGATACTTTTTAGAAACCGAAACTATGGCATCTGATATCAGTCCTCCCTCCTTGGCTTGCTTTCAGCCGTCCATAAACTCGAGCATTTTTGTCACGCGAGGACGGTTTGGGAGAAATCTGTGGTGGGCTGTAGATATCAGGTTGCTGTAAGTAAGGTGCCCTAGGCTAGCCCGCTTCAGACTGCGTTCCATCACCTTGCGCGGCACGCTAGTGAGGATTATAGGCCTATAGCTGCCAGGCGACAGTCGGTCACCAGTTTTGTAGATTGGCGTGCCAATCGCTTCCTCTAAGCAAAGGGAAGGCAGCCTTCGTCAAGCGAGTGACAAACACTACGTATAAATGATTTGCCAGTGTAGATGACGTTTCCTCCGGGATCCTTGGATGAACCTCGTTGGTCCCCAATGCGCAGAATTGGTTGATCTTGAGCAAGAGTCGACGAATGCCCTCCACCGTGAAGACCAAGTCGGTTAGAGGCTGTTCGTTGTTACGCCTTGGCAAGAGTTGATGTGACGAGGACGCTGGGGCTGTATATAGACCTGCATCGTATTCCTTTTAAGCTTCGGATACCACTGTTGGGTCACTCGTGGGCGCTCCGATCCTATCCCTCAAAGAGAACACAAATGGTTTATTTCTGCGGCGATGTCTCATGTATTTAAACAGTACGTTTTTGTTTTTCCGGGCGAGGTCTAGGATGGTGGCTTGTTTTCGTATGTTCCATTGGCGGATTTCTGATTTCCAGCGTTTCCGCATTTCACGAAATGCCAGCTCAACCTCCGTATCCCCTGTAGTCGACTTTTTGAAAAAAATTGGGAGCTCTTTTCCAGAAGTCAGTGCATCCTTTTAGGCAGCCTGCGGCTCATCCGACTGCGTGCTGGTTTTTTTGGACGAACAGTGCGTCAGCCACCAGACTTGTCCGCCAGATGTATGATTGCTTCAGTGGACAGTGATATTTGGTAAGCC